CCTGACATGCTCCCTTTATCTGCACTCTTTGCAAAATACCCGATCATGTGATCGCAGAGGCTACTGCATTTCTTAAAATTGAATTGATTTTCAGTATAATAGAGAACAAGCAGAAAAGTTGAGCTTCACCCTGCCTTGTTCTGTATTATCGACACGAAATTTAACTCCTTCTACAAAAGTTTCAGTACTGTTCACCGAAAATCGAAAGATAAATTGCACTGTAATGTCGTTCTTATTAAGTACCTTCATGTACACAAGTTCTCTGCTATTATTTTCTAAAGTTTCACAAAAGTCATAGTTCGAAAAAATCGATGAATTTCCGATCGGTTTGCCGCGATTCTTCTACCCTTTCCACTGAATTCAATTTCCAGCTGAACGCTGTTTTCAAGTCACCTCACTCTCTACGTCACCTTAATGAATTCCAATCGTCATAAACATATTTGTCCTTCTGTTGCGTGCTGCAGGCCAATGTGAACATTACTACCACGAAGAGGAAGAAGGACGCTGGTATAGTTATTCACACGTTGCGGTGACATCCGTTCGTGTAAGTATACGCATACACGCGCATCGTACACCGGACACATTCGACATATATTGTTATATAACACGTATCATATGCGATGTATTGTTGCGTAATAAGCGCGAAAATTTTGTTTAACAATCCCACGAATTCGTAAGGGTCCATGCATTTTTAAATTTCCCTCTTTTTGTTGCCACTCCAGGCGTGCTTTTGGTTATCGATGAACTATGGATATCTGATACATAACAATATACCGATAATAATGTTAAGATATAACTAAAGTTAATTGGAATGATTCAATCTTTTTATTCCTGTGTGACCTCGAACCTAACCTATCCTAATGTAACCTGGTACATACTTTTATCAAATCTATTTATCTGTGTTTAAACTCCAAAGGTAATCTAATCTAATCCTGGAAGGATAATTAAATTTAAACGATAAAATAGATAAAGTTAGGTTTGATTAAATGAAATGTTTGAGTATAAATAAATCGGAATAATATTGCACGTTACATTTCATTCCTATTCGCTTTAATTATATTTCAACAATATTTAACGATGCGATTTAGAAGTTATTGACCAGCACCTTTGTACCACACGTGGTCAAACTTTCATTAGATCCCCGTTTCACAGGACGTCACAAATACCGTTACCCTCTTTCATGTATACATTCCATGTTAGTAATACATATAAAAATTGAGAATTTTAAAAATCAGCTCCCATTGTTACAGAAATTGATTTACCATATTTAATACACAAATAAATTTCTTGATACCGAGAAGAAGTTCTACGTTTCGCGAACGATTTCCTTGTTGCACATCTTCTTTTATTAACAAGATGAACGTACTGCATCGCCAAAACTCGCGATTTTACCGTTCGCGAATCGAGTTCGTAATCATCGACGATCACCCACTGTCCGCGATGTGTTGTGTATAATTGAAACGTAGCATTTGTTTATCTGTTAAAATAAAATTCTTCCGTGATAACGGAGAGCAGCGAACCATTTCACTTTTGACCGCGAGCACCGCGTGCTCAATTCGTGACTTTTTTCAGGGACTACGAGATATCGAATCACGAATCGAAAATTGGCCAAGAACGTGGTCGCTGTTTATCAAACCGCACGCAACTGTCTTATCTATCGAGATATATCAGGATAAAAGCTATTTTAACGTAAACGTGTATCTCTTTTCTCCACGAGTGTCACATGCGCAACTTCTTTGAATGTCAATCCTTTTCCCGCCTTTTTCCGCAAGGCATGTTGTGAAGAATGACACACCTCTTCGATTATTTTAGACAGTCATACACTTAATATAATTTAATTCTGTATATTAAATTAAACAACTCTTAATCCTGATTTCGAATTTATTTTTACACAACGAAAAACTAATATTGTCCATACCTTTCATTATGCTTTTGCCGCGCTTTTTCGAACGTAAGTTTTGGAGGAAAATCATATTAGTTTAAAATAGTTACGTTGATTGTATTAGTTACACCACATGTGAATACAATCCTGTTATAATATTATACAAATAAAACAGATGATTGAAACGTTTATTCAATTTTGTTTTATAAATCTCATTGATTATAAGTCATTTTAATTTTCACTAAAAATAATGTAACGCTTTTTGAATGTAGTTACATTAATGAAGTTCCAAAGCAAAATGTTAATGAACGATGCAAAATGTTTTATTTAAAAATCGCAAGAGTAAGTTTTAGAACTTCCTTTTATACGCGCGATTTCATGAAACTAATAGTGTATGATTCATAAAGCTTCTCATCTTGATGAGATTGTAAAGCACGTGCAAAAAGATCAACAATATTTGTGAACAGGTTTTGACATGATCTCCAAGCAAGCATCCGCAGACAACGACCATTAAAATGTTAACATTCCTGGCAACATAGTGTCCCCCACCACCTTGTGCATTTTCAATTTTACAGTCTATTTTTTAATTTATTTTATTAACACGATAACACTCACTAAAAATTTGACTTAATAATGAGATGAAAAAGTAAAACAAAAGAAAATGATTCCTGATAGTTTCGTGCAAATTTGAATTCCATGAAATAACAAGGTTTCTATATATCGTTCATTGATAAGTGCATTATCGCTTATTGCATAACGACGCGCGTATTACGATTAGTGACAGCACATGTTACACTCGCTCGCCAATGAACGAAGCAAACAAATTCTTTTCGTTACACGTTGCTTCAATATTGATATCTTACCGCAACTCCTTTTTATGTTTTTATTTTCAGTATCTTTTCAATAACGTGTGAAACAATAATTACGACGACTATACTCGATAATACGTACAATCTTCATACAAAATGTGTACTGTAAAAGATATGAAACAATGTAGATAATTATGTTCGTATACACGAAAATTCTCTAGATAATATTATCTATGAACCGTAAACAAGAACGGCGTTAATTACGTTAGAAAATACTAATAAATTCAAGTATCAAACGCGAACGGTGCAATTGCGAAGAAAAAATTATAAATAAATTCACTGATCATTAATAAATTTAAATCGTAGTTATTACTGTATAACGTTACTATCGCGCAGATGATATAGAAGAAAATAATTTTATGTGACGAATGAACTAACATTTTATCGGAACATTGCGTTATGCAGTTAAAACATTTTTTGTTTTCTTAATATCGTAATTATTTATGCATATTTAATGACCGCGTACTCTATAGATTTTCACGCAGATCAATCGAAACATTGACAGAGCGGCCTGATTGGTTGATTGAGGAGTCAGGCGACGAATAACGTGATCTGATTGGTCCGTACAAAGCGTGCGGTGTATCCAAGGAACACGCGTCACTAAACGATGTATACCGAATAGAACTCTAACACTATCATAGATAACGACGTTTTCTTATTCTCATACGATTATCTATGAAAAACTGAAACCGTTAGATTATTAAAAAATAAAAACTCACCGGTGACGAATCTTACGCGGCGGGGTAGCACGCTCCTCATTGAGGTTAGGTTCGTTTGTCCCTTCGTGTTCTGTCATTCGATTCACTTACGTTCACGATTCGACACGAAGAAATATTACACGGAACTGACTATGCCCGATTATGGTATGGAAATGATCGAACACGGTCGATCACAATGTAGTAAACTATTGTCACCGTTTAAACATGGATTTTTTTACTTCCGCTAAGGCAGGTTCACCATGGCACAACATGAAAAGCTCATATACCGACACCTTTGAATTTCACTGTTGATCCCTGCACGACTAAGATTCTTTTATCGATAGGGAAGAAACCCGTCAGTAACGTGCTTTATACCTAGAGGTCAGGGTTCGACAGGTACCGGTAGTTTCAAATTGGCCTCTGCTAGGTTATGGACGACACCGTGTTGGACACACATTTTCTTGGTAATATTGTTAAAAAAGTATGCTTCATTTTTTCTATCAGTCTATTCTAACCAGAGCTGGGTATATTTCAAACAAAAATTATAGAACCTTTTTCGTCTAGATACAATTGTATTTGCAGATTTATTTTTTTTGACAGCGATAAATGCAAACATATCGATGATTGATTGAAATACAATACTTCGAAATTATTAACTGAAATAATAATTTCTGTATGAAATATCAGAAATAATTACTTAGAATGACGCTTTAAAATCCTAAATTTTCATTGGTCGTTTCAAATACTTTTTTTTAACCGGAATTTAAGTTATCAGGTTCGTTTACATACTGTGTAATATTGAATTTCTTTTAATTAAGAACAAGTGAAGGAGGGGGTGTCACCATTTTCCTTCGATGTTAAACTATCAAATATGTAAATTTTGAAATATGGAAATTTAGAACTTTGAATATTTTTTTAATTTTTCAGAGGGTCAGAAATACTTTCTGAAAATATTTTGATTTTTTATTTCAAACACTGCCCAGGTCTGGTTCTAACCTAAAACTAATTGAATTTGACATCGAACAATGGTCTTTGACTTCTGAATTTATGTGTAACAGATATTACGAAATTTTCAAAAATGCCATTCAAAAATTCCGATCGTTAAAACGAGATACACACATGTTGATGTTACATTGATCAAGGACAGTGGTATTCGCTATGCAATACAAATTGCAAATTACGGACTGTCCGTAAATGATATTTTATCGTTTTCAAACGAAGTGTTCATCGATTTTATTACTACGAACATTATTTCTCAGCACTCATTGATTGCCACAGTGTATAGCAGAAACGAGTATCATAATCGTCACGACGTACTGGATTTATATAGGGTGCAAAAACGCTTATCGTTAATTGAAAATGTAAATGTTGAAAGTTCGATGAATTTTCACCATTATAAAAGATATTTATCATTTAAGTTAAAGGTAAATGGGATAATGCGACAAACAACGTACTTTTTGACATTAATAGTATTATTTATATATTACAGAATACTATAGCCGCTAATGATATAAAAGAATTTACAAAAAATATATTAGATGAAATAATTTCGTTGCAACGATTAAATTCTCGTATAAAGTACACGATTTACCATGATCATAAAATGATATATAATAACTATATTCCATTAGACAGCGATTATAAATCATGTCATGTGGTTGCTAAGGCATTGACAAACGTGATCAAGCAGAGCTCAAACGTTCGGTTTAAAGAAAATTGTTTTTCTATGTTAGAAGTGGACAATTCGCATCAAGTAGAGGTTACGCTCATGAGTAAACTGTTACCGTTAATACACGACAATTATACTTTCAATAGTAATAATAATTAATAAGGTGATACATTATGAAATGAATAGAAAGCGATATTATCGAATTACTGTACTGACGTAACACGTTTTTATATTGGTACGATAACAGTCGCTCTTTGAACGGCTAAATTTAAAGTAAACATAGTTTTTTTGCTAAACGTGATAGATCTTTTTTTCTCGACATCGAGCAGATTAAACCTTCCCTGTTGTATAGATCTCGCGCAGCGTGCTCTTTTCGATCGGTTTTTCTAAATACGAAATTACGCTTATTTAGAATTCAATTATTCCCGCCATAGTTCACGTAACCGGCAGAATCCTGCGCAAGTGTAGTTGCGCATAACAAGCGTAGTATTCATTCTTTCCCCCAGTCAAGACGCGAGGGTCAGGTTAGGCAGGTCGGGCTGACAGCACAGAGTGGAAACATCGTTTTGTTATAGTTCGTAAATGAAGGCTAACTTTGTCGCGAAGTTTGTGAAAACTGTGAACGAGAGAGAAGAGGATGCCACAACGGAACTGTCAACGAAATCACCGTGTACGAGGCTCGCGATGAATTAGCCAGGGCAAACATGGCTCGCGTTCCGGCAGACGTGTGTTTTTCTTCGTGGTGAACCTCCGTCTTTCTCTGTCTCACCAGGCAGGGATCCTCAACCTCGGGAGTGGTGATATTCACGCAAGTACGTAACGCATACATCCAATTGTAACTGGCGTATACACGCGGCTTAACGTATATTAATATACACACGGCGAGGGAAGAGGAGCTGTTCCCGCTTGTTAGTATGCAAGTGCCGTTTCGGTGCCCCTTACGTGGCCTTATTTGCACTCGCGTACGATCGGCGCGCGAAACGAATCGAAATGACCGATCTCATTTTCGTGTAATTTCTGTTTCGGAGTGCACTACCTGATTCGTGTAAAGTACGTTTAACAATTGTCGTACAGAGTGGTGCGAACGTCGTGTTGCTGCTATGTCTCTTATTTTCTCTCCCGTTCGTCGCGGTATGTGCGTGTGCGTGTAACGGTGCAGTAAATGGCGGAGGATGTAAAAGGGCTTTTCTAGTCTACGATGTGCCAGCAGAGAATTATCGGTATTGTCGTTCCCCTGACATAACCGCCGTTACTTCCCTCGTTTGCGGTTTCAGGTGAGAGTCGATATTCCGCTCGTTCGTAAGGGTACGTTTACACTGGGCGAGCGAATGCTCATTCTCCCCCCACCTCGGCTAAGTTTGAGCGCAACGATCATTCTTCCGGTGCTCGGTGATCGTTCGCCGGATCGGATGCCCAATGGGAACGAATGCTCTGACAATAAAAATTTGTGTAGAATCAATTCGACTATGATTCGATGCGACACGAATCAATTCACTGTGGTTCAAATCGACGCGTTTTACCTTAATATGATTTGTCTTGACATGTTTTAATTTGGTGTGATTCAAATTGACGCAACGCAATTCAATACGGTTTTCCGAGTCTCATTTTTGCAACATTGTCGCTGTAGTTATTTGTGCGACACGGTGCCGAGCGGTAGGTCCTAACTTAATATTGAAATTTGGCGGTAAACAAGAAATAATAAACATGAAAGTTTGCATTTTGACATTTGTCAGGTTTCATGTTTAACGACCTAATATATTGCAGGTCTTCTTATGCAAGCACGAACGAATATTCTTGCTCTTACTCTACATTATTGCTCGTTTAGTTGAAACGTACCGTAACTTGCTACATAGTTGCTTGTTCTCTCCTCACTCGATATTCCAAGCGTCCAGCTATACATACTACCAAACCGCTGTACGATGTAAACACGCCTTTGTGTCTTATTTATTTGCTTCGTTATCGCGATGCGATTTTGTACGCAAAGTTCATTGCCCCAAACCTCGTGTTCACAGTACCGCGTGGAATAGAATCATTGAAGTTTTTTTAACATCCTTCGACGGACTTCATAATGTCAAACTGTACAATTATCGTTACGGTAATACGACATTTGCGTTGACGGTCTCTCTAATAATAAGCATAGCAAGAAAATTGTTATGAAACAAGAAGAGATATTTGTCTTTTCGTTGTATTTTAATAACACCAGTATCGTTTACAATTAACACAACTGTTACTCTTACGGTACTATGGTACTTGAGAGGATCTTAACCATGGATTCTATACCGTCAGGATAAGATATCGATCTCGTGCATTTATGACATACCTACACTCAAAGAGTCTGCACCTCTATAATTTCGTATAACCTTCTGGATCGGTAAACGTATCGGATTGCTAAATGTTTAACGGTAGCTTGTTTCGTATGAAGGGGAATGGAGCAACGGTGAACAACGGATAATACTTACTATTATTACAGAAACTAAATCTTAGATTCTAGCCGGTAACTATTTTTCTACGTGTCAGTTTCTCCTGAAATATTTAATTGCCACACATTCGTAAATAAGTTTTCAAACTTTGAAATTAGATCGTCCCGTGTCGGTTCTCGATCGAAACTGGGGGAAGAAAGCGTGTTAGCTAAAGTGTAAATAACAACGAGTCGTTGCGGTGCAAACATTAAAAATGAGAGTTTAGTTACTACCTAGGAATTGAAGTGCGTGTAACGCGATAAGGGCTTCTCGTGTGTACGATGCTTAATTAAGTTCTCATTGTATATACGTTGCACAACCGGAATAGAGAAAAACAATCCGTGCGGGTTGCAATTAAGCAACGGACGTGGTTACGCGTGTTAGGGGCATCACGATGCCATTGGCGTAACTAGGTAGGGGCCAGGGTGGGCCTGGCGGCGATTTAACTCGTGGCGATTTGATGTATGGATAAAGTGCGCGGTAATACAAAGCGTGATCAAACGCGTAACAATACAACCCGATGCTATTTAACCCGTGACGATATATCACATGGCAATATAACGGTCATCTAACACGTGGTGATTATGAGTCAATACGATACGTGACAATAGAACGCATGGATATATGTAACCTAAGACCATCTTTCTTCAGAAAATAATCTTCGTTACGCCAATGAAGAGTAGCAAGAATAACAATAACGTAAAGATAGAGGTGGGAAGGAAATGTTGAAAGAAAAAGGTAGTAGAACGCATTCCAGCAACACCACGCGAAAGAAGATAGAGTAACCTTGGCATAGTAAAGTTATCGGAACGTCTCCCTACTGAAAATCCCCACCTTGACTCGTTTCTATCAAGCTCGTTAAACTTTATCAAGTAGCGTGTCAACGACTTCGTGAAATTATTTAATATCATCGTTATGCTCGTGCGCAGAGGATTATCCATATCCTTGACGGTATCATCTTATCGGCATGCGAACAACATTGGGGTTGCAAAATCGTCTCGGTGACCGACTGATCTTTTTATATCAACCTTTGGATTCTTCCTTAGATACGTTTTACTCTATTTGGACGTGCTATTTGTATCGTAAACATGTATGGGATATATTTCTTAGGGCGAGAGTTCCGAGACTTTAATGGACTGAGATTCACTATAGAAATGGTCGTTTCTCGTGACCCACTCGTTTCTAACGTATTGTGTTCCAAAGTCCCAAAAACTTCCACAATCTGAAAGTCTTCAAAGGTCTTAAAGTTTCAGATTGATAATAGAAATTTACAGTGTAACTACTGTAGACTTCTCGGTTATAAAAATACTTAAAATAATGAAAACAATATTATTGTTCTACTGTTTTTTAAATAAAGTCAGTACTTAAGTGGACATTTGCAAGTTTTGACTCGCTCGACACCGAAGCCCAAACACACATGGGTCGAATTAACTTCTAAGGATTCGAATTTATCGATCGAATTTACCATCAAAGGAACCGTGTAAAACTCCGTACTTTACATTATAAATATCCGGGAGGCGCAGTTAGAGGTTTCGTAGTTGTACTCCGAGCGTTATAGCTCCGTTTCAGTATCGTTTGACGCATACCGTGCGTCGTTAGTTCCATTCGATGGACAACGGTCGGACGCATACGGCGCGTCATCAATTTCGGACTTAATCGCGCTGATCGAAGTTCTGTGCCCCTGGAGCGTTTAAGAACTCGACATACGCCAGCGGATGTGGCGTAGACTTTTTACTTGTGGCTTTGTTGCACTTTTATTTTCGTCGTTTCTCGACCGTGCTACTGGTGCACGCTTTCAGCCTAAGTCAACGATAAGAGAAAAAAAGGGAGACAGACGAAGAAAACAACTGTCAGTTTCGCTCGCGAACGTGCATCCGGATGTACTCCTCGCCATGAGAAACGTTATTCCGTTAAGGAACGCTCGTTAATTACCCATCGAACAAGATAATCAGATGGTAAAATGCGATCACTACGACTCTAGATCCTAGTTATTTTACGGTCTACAGATATGTGGTCTTAATAGAGTAATTTAAAGTGGAGTATGAAATGCCTTTTTTTATATTTCTTTTTAGTTTAAGTTCTAATTGCGCTATGCATCATTTAACGCTGTATACTATATGAGTCGCGTGCTATAGTGTCACATATTAAATATCAACTCGTCCCATATGTCGCCACGTGCCAAAACCTGCGCTGTATTTTGCCATGCACTATATTGCCATATGTTATAATTGTCCCATTCTATATATTTCTGCATATGGTATGTTGCCATTTGCCATATATTACTATGTGTCATATATCGCCGTGTACCATATATCGCCATGTGTCATATATCACCGTGTACCACATATCGCCGTCTACTATATATCGCCGTGTACCATATATCGCCATGTGTCATATATCGCCATGTGTCATATATCGCCATGTGTCATATATCGCCATGTGTCATATATCGCCATGTGTCATATATCGCCATGTGTCATATATCGCCATGTGTCATATATCGCCATGTGTCATATATCGCCATGTGTCATATATCGCCATGTGTCATATATCGCCATGTGTCATATATCGCCATGTGTCATATATCGCCATGTGTCATATATCGCCATGTGTCATATATCGCCATGTGTCATATATCGCCATGTGTCATATATCGCCATGTGTCATATATCGCCATGTGTCATATATCGCCATGTGTCATATATCGCCATGTGTCATATATCGCCATGTGTCATATATCGCCGTGTACCATATATCGCCATGTGTCATATATTACCGTGTACCACATATCGCCGCGTACTATATATTGCCGTGTACCACATATAACCACGTGTCATATCTTGCCACGCGTTTTATAACAACGAATCCCCTTTTACTTGAATTGAAAGTATGATTGATAACGATCACGAGAAATTGTAGCAGAAACTGTAAACTGAATTTATTTCTTTTTGTACACACGCCACGTGTTTCACTTTCAAGTCGTTTTCTTAATTAGCTTGGAAAGTATGATGCCTATAGAGATTAATGTTAACCGCGCAACGCTTCCTGCGGATAGTATAATTATACGTTTAGCGCGAATATTTTAATTATCAAACGCCTCCGTTACGTTTATCGCGTTTAGTCTAAAATCGCACGCTGCCAGTGACGATAACTGATCATTGTAGAATCGCGTTGAAAAGTCTGTAGAAAATCGCGTCGATTCTCGCATCGTTTTCGATCGATCGAATTGCACGCTGACCGTCGATCGGAGTAACACTTTCGCTCGATTTAAAGTTCAAGAGAATCGTTTTAGCTGCACGCAGTCGTAGGCCGCGGCAAGGTCGCTGATTTTCGAACAGTAAATTCACCTGATTGCCTTCGACGCTACGAAAGCAACGAACATAAGTTCCTTTAACTCGGTTTGCTGCTTACAGTGTGCATTATCACTCAAACGAATATAAATAAACTCTTTAAAAAGTTGTTATATTTAAGAAGAGAAATTAGGTTATATCCGCGAAGGTCATCTCAAGGTTATCTCTGAAAATTTCACCTTCATCCTTTTTATCGTAGCTATATATCTTTTTGTAAACCAATATTGTCAAACATTCTGTATAAAAAAGTATTAAGACCAAAATTTTTATTCTCTTTGAAATTTTTTATTTAAAGTGTTGAAAAGGATGCACCTAAAAGAAAGCAATCTAGTTACGAGCTTTAGGCTCCTTTCGTTTCTCCAACAGTATTGCAAGTATTTTACATACCATATTATGTTAGCTGTACAAACTTTTACCTCTTCCATTCTTTCCAAATATTTACCATCTCCGAGAGAATCGTTGGCTAGCGTCGAGGTAAATACCCCGTATACACAGGGTACCTATAAATAATTTAATATCAGTCTGTTATAAAAGTGCGACGATAAAGACGTCTGAGTATCATCGAAATTGTTTGCACAGAAGAACGTGAAAGAGGAATAATGGTTCAATCGAGAGGAAAGTAACATCCTGCCGTCATCCTGGCGCGTGGCAAACCAGGCCAAAGGCCTGGATCCTCATCCTCCTCGTCCTCGTCCACGGAGAGGTTGCAAAGGATGCCAGGACCGGCTCAAGAGAGGCCTCGTGCTCAACGATTAACCGACATCGAGCCACCGACTGCAAAGGTAAGTAAACGATTATAATATAAGAGTTATAGCCTGTCGTGACTCATAACGAGAACATACAGGGTGCTCGCGATAATGTGGACCAGCGTTTTTCTCTAACGGTATACTCTAAGGATTACAAAAACGTATAAGAGTATGAAGTTGTACTATATTTTACTAGCAACACGATGAGCTATATCACTTTACTAAGCTATAAAGTGCTCTGCTCGATTTGTCACGCGTGGATCTTGTTTTATAGGATCATATTACAGATAATGTTTACTACACTGTCAGGCCATTTAAACTACTTGAAAATTGAAATGAAAGCGTTTATATCCAGTATGATATTAGCACAAAGTATTAAAAATGTAATAAATAGAAATGTATTCTTATTGGTGGAAGTGAAATACTGATCTATGTTAGTACGGACACCCTGTATGCTTCACTTCAACGATTTAAATGAAACTGTGAATATCTGTTGATAGAATTTGCATTGTCCCTTTGATATTAATAATAGTATCGTCAAAGGGAAATCTGAATTACTATGAAATTGTGTGCAGCGATTTAGCGGTGAAAATTTAGTGTAATTGAGGTTGACGGTAGAATATTATGTTGACGAAAACAAACGTTCAAGAACGTTCTAAGCAGTGAAACTTAGTAAAAGCGGGCGTAATGATTTTGCATGTTTCCTGGAAAAATGGGTTACGGTTGGGTAACAATCGCAGGTATACCAGGGGAAAACCGTAACGAAACATTTTTCTACGTATTTCATACCGATATTAATCTAAACTTTTTATTATGTTAGGCAATCAAACGTATTTTTCTTGTATTTATTTTTTATAATTTATAAATCGAATCAGGCGAAATTCCTTCAGACTTTCAAACGTCCTTTCACATTTTTAAATTCGTAAATTGATTTTGTCATGTCCCTCGTTGTTGACCCTACGGAAACCATATATGGAAAGACTCGCAACATCATCTGTTATCATGTAAAACCTCGTTAAAATCTGAGGGGTACATTTCGTATGGTTTTCTTGTTCGCTTCTTTTATACGACCCTCGATGTACGATTTTATTCGACGGTGTTACCTTGCACGCGAAGGTGTGAAAGGTTTCGTGCAACGTGTCGAGACACGACATCGCTACAACCTTAATTTACCTTGATCTTCCTTTCATTCTCGTTTTACATCTCGATGATATCAGCCGGCTTTCTGTTAATTGCTCACACGACCCTTGCTTGGTATAGGTCAGAAATTGCGTCGCAATGTCCAGTTGCCTCTTTCCTCGCGGATTTAATGTTAATCTTTTTAAATCGCTCCTTCGTTCAGCTTTCTCCGATTCCGTTTACTTTCTCTTTTTAAAGAGACGCGATTTTCACGCGTTTCTCGATATCCGGTCTTTTCATTCAATAAAATTAATGTCGTATATTAACGAGCGCCATTCTCTAGGGAAAATGGGAGGCTCCATATTTCGCTGTTGAAATTATTACGATAAACATTTACTCGATAATATCGATTATCTTCAATTGGAATTAACGCTTTACGATGTTTCAATAAAAATCATCCCTTTTAAGTTCCACTGCAATTCGAACAATGCTATGCAGTTTAACTGAACCAGCTATTAAAAGTTTGAGGCGGTCTGCGTATAATTTTAACAGTTAATATGTTTCATCGTCGACGCAAAATATTGCGTCGCTTTTTCATGGTCCAAGAACGAGAACAAGAACGCAAGCTGTAATAAAGCCAAGCATTCCGATGCCAACCAAGCAAATAAAAGCGGTTATTCAACGAGGACAATGGATCTCCAGCTTTTTCTTTTCTCCTCCGGTACTTTCGGTTCTCTTTTCCGTTGATAACAGACACACAAGACGGTTGGTCTTTGCGTTAGCTTTTCGGACCAGTTCAGCAAAGTTGCGCTCGTATTCGCGAGAGAATGCGGAAGTTGCTTCTATTTCGCTCTGGTCTCGTTCGTCCATCTCGTTGGCGTGAGAGCAAATCGATAGGCTTTGCTAGCTACCGTTTCTACATGTATACCTATCGTGTGCGTACCAACATCATCTCCTGGAACACCCATCCATTTGACGGAAGCCTTCTATTTTCCTGGCCGATGAGTTAACCCTAGAAATACCAAACAGCGGGGGAACCTTTCGAGACCATCTGCTAGAAAATATTGAAAACTGCTCCTATATAAAATTTCTAATAAATTCTTCAGTTTCGTTGGCGTCTTCAAGGTTACGAGGAGGGATCAATCTCGGGTCAACGCCTTTTATCTCTTAATCGGCTGATTTTCTGATCAAGAAAGTCCTTTCAATTGCGATAAATTAATGCGAATAGATTTCTCTTATTCACAACGCATACAAATGCGATCAGCTTTCTTTTTTCATAAAAATAATCGATGCACTTAAAGACTAAATATATCGCAGCAGGTAGTATTTTTACGTGACGTATCATGCGCGAAATTACACCACGCGTTATACTGCAATTAGCGGTGTCGACGCGTTCAGTATTCCCCCTCGTATACATTTCCTCGCGCTATATCGCCGTGCGAATTATTTTTACGTGTTACGTCACCATGTGTAATATCTTTGTATGTTATATTGTTGGATAGTGTCTCCTCGCGTTATATCGCCGGGCAGTGTTTCCTCGCGTTATATCGCTGGAGATCCGTCACGACTGACATCGTTGCGTTAAATTATCATTTGTAAGCTATCGTCATACTCTGGATTAACGTAAATTCGTTATATTATTGCTGCAGTATACTTGTTACATAACAATTGTTGCATAACTATAAAATTGTACGACGTGCAGAATATTTTAAAAATAAATAAGAGTTGAAAGAGGAGGTGATAATTTTGCAAAGCATATAGCGTCCGATGAGTAAGTTGGAACGCGTTCGCATAGTCTTCGAAGCCATGTTTTCTTTAGCAGATGTTCCTTTTTTTTCTTCTTCATTGACGAGCGAGCTTCCATGACGTGTCGAGTACATATGTTTCGCCCGTTCTTGCTGCCTTCATAAACTACATACTTGTTATTTTAACGGATCCACGCAGTTCGTTCACGAAGTTCACGCGTTGCTTCGAAAGTGCACGCGACCGTGTTAATTAAGGCTTCTCTCATTATTATGCGTATCCATTACGCTGTTGGTTTAAGATATTCACCGGAGTCGTCGTACACTTGCGTACGCTGTCAAATAAGGAATACGGTATTCACTGAACTAGTTTCTTGTTTCAGTAAATCGTGTTACGTTTCTTCATCCGAGCCTCGTGCCGGGAGGGGATGAAATGCTGCAATCCGTTCGTTTTCTCTTTTATCCACAGAACGCACGTTTTTACGTCTGCATTTAGTTTTGTTGCAGTTTTTTTTCTTCTTGTAGAAGTGGAAGGAAGAAGACAGGAAACAATTAATACTTTCAGAACTACCGTTTTGTATTTATTACGAAGTTTATTTTGTCCGTAGCCAATTAAAATTATAAAAACGTTAGAGATAACAGAACTTTAACCGCGCTCGGAACCTGAAATATTTGCGAAAAACTGGTATAATTTTCTCAGTCGATCAATGCTATCGGGAGTCATTAGGAAGAAGAAGGCCAGTGCTTTCTCGAAGCGGTCCAGTTTGCCATCAGGTTGATTAATGGAATGATTGACGATCCTTTTCATCCAAGCGAATCCCCATTTTTACGACTAGAATCTATTGTTGTTAGAACACCAGACACTTCTACTGACCAAGGTCGATGGAAATTGGGTACAGTATCGGAATTGCACACCTGGGACTTTGCTGTCTATAGAATTTCACACTTGGGAAATTCCAAAGCATTTCACTAACTTTTATTGAAAAATTTGTCTATTTTCAAACGTTCGAATCTTCACATTTCTAAATTCGAATGTTTTCTACTTGAAAATTTTCAAATTCCGATTTCCAAATTTCTGAAATTCTAAATCGCTAAATTCTCATCTTATGTTTCTAAATTGTGAAATCCCAAATTTTCAAACTTCAAATTTTCAAATTACAAATTTTTCTACCTTCTCAACCCCGAAATTCCCAGATCGCTATTTTAAGAATATTTCCAAGTCGAGATTTTCGCAGCTGCGCAATTTGAGAAAAATTTGCTCCGACAAGCCTGCGACCGACTGTTAGGTATCGACGAGCAAACTATCACGTGATGGGTTTTTACGCTTGACAGGATATTCCAATCATTTGCCGCACCGATCGGAAGAAAAGAGCAGACGTAAATAATGGTGTGCGAAATTTTATGTTCGCACCAGAAATAGAACTTTTCTCGGTTGAGCAGACGGATACGGTGAGCGGAGAGAAGCTTCTTCCCCAGATACTGTTGCTGCAAAAAAATGCTACTTCTAGAGAGTGGATGTTCGAATGTTGTTTTAAATATTCCTGCAAAATTTATGTTGTCGTTTAAAACGTGGAATTCGTGGCGTGTGAGGTGTCAGGAAAAGATGGAAGCATTTATACTTGTTCGCGCGATAATAAAATCGAATCTGTAGTAAACTATTTCAGGCTTGAATTTTCTGAACAGTGGTGTTGCTTCGACATTTGGTAGATTCTTAAACCGACTAATTTATGTAGGCAATTTTTATGATTTTCTTAAAATTGGCTCTAAAAGATTTGTATTTCAGTAGCTATAGATTATGTGTATTATGTATTATATTATGAATTTGTAAATTTTAAAAAGTTCTGAAAATTGTCCAGTTTAAAGATCTGTACGTTCGAAAAATTTCGATTAGTAAATGTGTATTATGTATTATATTATATTATATTATGAATTTGTGAATTTTAAAAAGTTCTGAAAATTGTCCAGTTTAAAGATCTGTACGTTCGAAAAATTTCGATTAGTAAATGTGTATTATGTATTATATTATATTATATTATGAATTTGTGAATTTTAAAAAGTTCTGAAAATTGTCCAGTTTAAAGATCTGTACGTTCGAAAAATTTCGATTAGTAAATGTGTATTATGTATTATATTATATTATATTATGAATTTGTGAATTTTAAAAAGTTCTGAAAA